TCCTGCCTGCCTGTTCCTGCCTGCCTACCTGCCTGATTCTGCGTGTTCCTGCCTGTTCCTGCCTGCCTGCCTGCTACTCTTACCTGCCCGCTCCTGTGTGCTTGCCTGCAGTGTTACCAGCCTGGGCTGGGTGTTTGCTCTCTGCCAGACAGGTGCCCCATTTGCTGCTGGCAGAGGAAGGAGAAAGAGCTCCCACCTCTGCCCGCACCCCTGCCTGCACCCCTGCCTCCCCTGCACTGCCTGGGTTGCCTCCTGGACAAGGTCACAGCAGGCCCTGGGGCTTCTCAGGGACACCAGACTTGACCTTGGACCAAAGCCTCCTCCTCCCTCCCAGCGAGGACCAGGGATGTGGCCCCACGTGCTGTGCTGGTGGCCATGGGGACATTCCAGGTGGGCTGTGGGATGTGGGGAGCCTGACCCATCCCCTGAAACATCCCCTCTCCCCCCTCAGTGCCGCTCTGGTGTGGGGTGGCACCGACCATAGCGTGACAGTGTTGTGGTACTTGAGCTTCCCGTGGCTGGATGTCACTCTCTGGGAATGGTTAAATAGATCTGAGTGAGTCACTTAAACAGACGCCGTGGATGTGAAAATAATTGTCTGGGCAGCCTGTGCCTGCCAGGCCGCCAAGTAATCCTCACACGGCCTGTGACTCAAAGCCAGCCAGAAGGAGAGTTCTCTCTGCTGCTCAGTTGGAAATATTTTGAGGAAGGCACCCAGCTCCCGTTCCCTGTCCCCTGCATCCCTCTGTGTGGTCCTGTCCCCATCCTGAGTGGCCACCACAGGACTGTGCTCACTACCTACCCTGTGCATCCTCAGTGGTAGCATCATGGCAGCGTATCATGGGATCATAAGGATCCTTAAAGATCATCTCATCCCACCCCCTGCCATGGGCAGGGACGCTTTCCACTAGTCCAGGTTGCTCCAAGCCCTGTCCTGCCTGGCTTTGAACACTTCCAGGGATGGGGCAGCCACAGCTTCTCTGGACAACCTGTGCCAGGGCCTCCCCATCCACACCAGGAAGAATTTCCTCCTAATGTCTAATTAAACCCTGCCCTCTGACAGTGGGAAGCCATTCCCCCTTGTCCTGTCCCTCCATCCCTTGTCCCAAGTCCCTCTCCAGCTCTCCTGGAGCCCCTTTAGGCACTGGAAGGGGCTCTAAGGTCTCCCTGGAGCCTTCTCTTCTCCAGGTGAACACCCCCAGCTCTCCCAGCCTGGTTCCAGAGCAGAGGGGCTCAAGTCCTCAGAACATCTCTGTGGCCTCCTCTGAACTCTATCCAGCAGCTCCATGTCCTTCCTATGTTGGAGTCCCCCATGCTGGAGGCAACACTGCAGGTGGGGTCTCACGAGGGCAGAGTAGAGAGGGAGAATCCCTCAGCCCAGTTTGACAGGGAGAAGGGAAGGTACAAGGCAGTGAGTTATGTGAAATTGTTTAATAGGATCGAGGGTGGATATGGGTGGGAAGGGGATATGGATGAGAAGGGGCCTTGGAGGTCCCTGGCCCAGTCCCCTCCAGCAAGTCCATTGGATCTGGTTGCTCAGCCAGCCACATGCTGAATATCCTTAAGGAAGGATGTCCCACAGCCTCTCTGGGTCCAGTATTTGACTGCCTTCATGACCGTTGTTTTTTCCAATATCTAATTTGCATTTTGCTGTCCCAGCTTGGTCCAGCACTGGTTGTCCTGTCCCTGTGCACCCTGAAACTTCAGCAGGAAGCTGAAGGTCACTTCCAAGGACCAGCAGGATGCCTGGCCCCAGCTTCTCACCACCCTCCTGCAGGGCAGTCGCAGGCAGCAGTAGGAACTCCCTTGGCTTTCCAGGTGGACAGTCCCAACTCCCTTGTGTTCATGGCAGTCCTGGGTCCTTGTCTGCTTCCCCAGCCTGGATGGTTTCAGGGAGTTATTCAGCCCAGGCTGGTTCGTTGCTTTATTAAGAAACAATCATTAATTCCTTGTTATTACAATTATTAATTTCTTATTATTGTAATTTCTTATTATTTATTTACTTCTTATTTTTACATGTTCTTTCAAGAATGGGAAAAAATAGATAATTAGTCATTTAAATGAGAACTCAAACTGAAAATATCCTCTTCCTGTCCCTGCATTTGTGCTCATTCTCTAGCAAATATTGGGGGGTGAAGGAATTCACAGATGTGTCCCTTTTCTCCTTTTCCCAATAGTGCTGAAGTTCATAGCTCTGGGTCAGGAATGTGTACAGCCTCTGGTACGATGGGACCTTCCCCCAGCACATTGCCATCATCAGGATTTTCTAATTATGCCTGTGACTGGCAGCTGGCATTGGAGCCATTGACATGACTCAGTCAGTGTGCCTCATCTATATTAAACAGTGTTTTATTTAATTAAGTCTTGATCTCATCAAAATCAAGAGGGAGCGTTGGGGTGGCAGCAGGGAGAGCTACACTGACAGGGCACAGCTGAGTACTGGAATGCTGGGCACAGGGATGTGCCCCTGCTCCAACCCTGCTGTGTCTGGGGGTCCAGCAGTTTCTGGAGCACAGGATGGTGTGGGGCACAGCTGCACGTCCTGGCTCCATCAAGGACATGCTGGTTTCTGGGAGAGGAACTTGGATGAGTTCAGACTCACAGGATGGTTTGGGTTAGAAGGGACCTTAAGGACCATCGAATTCCAATCCTCCCACCATGGGCAGGGACACCTTCCACTGGGCCAGGTTGCTCCAAGCCCTGTCCAACCTGGCCTTGGACACTTCCAGGGATGGGGCAGCCACAGCTTCTCTGGGCAACCTGTGCCAGGGCCCACCACCCTCATGGTCCAACATTTCTTCCCCATGTCCAACCTGACCCTACCCTTGTTCAGTTTAACCCTGTTGTCCTGAGTTGGGACCCCAGAGCTGGAGGCAGCTCCAGGGGGGTCTCAGGACTGTGAGGAGAGTCCAGCATGGAGTGAGAGGTGGAAATGCTCTCAGTCTATGGGTAGGAGTTCTCCCACTCTAGGTGGGGGGAGTGCTCCCACTTTGGAGGTGGAAGTGCTCCCAGTCTGGAGGCAGGAGTGCTCCCAGTCCAGGGGGTGGGAGTGCTCCCAGGCAGGGGGTGGGAGTGCTCCCAGCTCTGGTCTCCACACACTGCAGGGCCAGGCAGCAGATTTTTGCAGTGTCTCCAACATATCCATGTTGCTCTTTCCTCTCTCCCCAGAAACGAAGGAGGAGCTGGAAGAGCTGATGTCTGACATAAAGAAGACGGCGAACAAAGTGCGCTCCAAGCTAAAGAGTGAGTGTTGGCTCGTGATGGAGCTGTGGAGCTCTGCCCAGAGCACTCCTATCCTGGGGGTGCACCCCAGGGATGGCCATCACCTTCCCTCCCCCTGCACCCTCCAGCTGCTTTTATTTGCCCTTTGTGAATTTGCCCCCTTGTGCCCTGTTCCCAGGATGGAGATGAGGGAATGGGGCCACGAGTGCCTGGTGGCGTCCAAGCCAGTCCTGTGCCACCACCACTGGCAGGTGTTGGGCTCTGGGCAAACCCCTGGCACAGCCAAAGGGTGGGCTCCAGGGCTGGGTGGGTGAAGAGGTGCTGCTGTGGGATGTGCTGCAGGACATGACCTTCAGTTTCCACCACTGGAACAGTCAGTCAGTCTGTCTGACAGTGAGGAGTGAGAACAACATGAGTGTCAGCCTGCTGATGGACAGGGTTGTACTGGAGCACTCAGATGAGCCCAGAATTCCATGACTGGACTCCAGGGATTCAGGGGGTCAGTGAGGACACTGGTGCAGCTTGGATTTGTCTCTGGTAGTCTTGGACACCAGGGTGGGATTTGGTTGAGATTGGTGCAGGAGACCTGGCTGTCTGAAGGGTGGGAGAGGAGCTGGTGCTTATCCCATGGCAAAACAAAAATCCTTTTCCATTAGTGTTTTGTTTGGTGTTTTTTAAGAGGCTTTGAGAGCCTGAAGGATTGCAGGACAGGCTTCAACTCCTGTTTTCTGCTTCCAGAAAAGACTCCCTGGTATCATGTTTACCTGGAGCAGAGGATGATTAGTCCTTGTGCTTTGTCCCAAATCGCCTCGTGGCCAGCATGATCAATGACAGAAAACAGTCAGGACTGATCCAAAACAACATCTGCTGACAACAAACTGACTTCTTCAGGCCAGATATTGCTCATGCAGGGGCTAACTCTAATTACCAGTTTCTTGGGAAAATGTGATTTTATTAATTATCATAAATGCCCAGTGTTTGCCAATACTGTTCCTTGGGAATGGGTTTGTGACGAGGGTGGAGGAAGCCCAGTTGCTGCTGGAATACACTGAGCTGTGCTGGAGGTTGAGGGGGCAGCTCCAGGGAATGGGGAGCCTCTGCTGCAGGAGGAACCTGCCCCATGCTGGGCTCGAGGGACCTGCTCCAGTGGGGAAGGTGCTGGGAACAGCCAGGCTCAGAGAGCTGTGGGACGTCAGCATTGGGAATGGGGTCTTCAGCCACACTGAGGGGATGCCTCCAGCTCACACCTGGTGGTTTACATGGAGATGTGTGCACCTGCAGGCTGGCCAGCCTCCTGATGGGAGCTTCCTTCCAGGCTTTATGAGTCTCTGAAATTGAGTCTTTGAATTAGCAGGTCCTGAGCTGGCCTTGAGGAGAAGGTTTCATAGAATCCTAAAGGATGCAATGGTTCAGGTTGGAAGGGACCTTAAAGACCGTCTTGTTCCACCCCACTGCCATGGGCAGGGACACCTTCCACTAGACTAGGCTGCTCCAAGCCCTGTCCAAACCTGGCCTTCGACAGTTCCAGGGATGGGGCAGGATTGCACTGCCCTCATCTGTGCCAACCCTCCTGCCCTGCAGTCCTGTGCCCTCTCCCTGCCCAAACCATGGTGGGACATGGGGCACTGCTCCTCCCTGACATGATTCATGGGCTTTGGGCAGTGAGAGCTTCATCTCAATTAGCTGCATAATTAAAGGGGCAGATCCCTGCCCTGCTGCAGGGCTGCTCAGCATGGTGAAGTGCATTTTTGCCAGCCTGGTGAGTCCTCCCTGTGCCAGGCTGGGCAGCTGGAGGAGCTGCTATTTTTAGGGTCTCTGGAGAAGTCTTGAGGTTTGGTACTTTGCAGAGACATTTTAGCTCTGGGTTTCCTCCTCCTGAGTCGCTGGGCAGAACAGCTCTCCATTTGGTTTGAGTACTGACCTGGGCATCGTATCAGTTTTGTATGGAAATCCTGGCCCACCTGCCTGGGAATGACAGCGCTGTCCTTGACAGCCCCCAATCTCAGCCAGTGGCCAGGCACCAGGTGTTTTGCAGTCATGAAATGGGGCTTTGCTGCCAGCCCAGGCTTAAATGTCAGGCCGGAGTCAAGAGTTGGGAACTCCTCGATCCAAAGGCTTCAGTCTCTCACAGTCCCTTTGCCAAACAAACCCTTTCCTTTGGTCAGGCATTGGAACAGGCTCTCCAGGGAAGTGGTGGAGTCACCATCCTTGGAAGTGTTCAGAAGTTAGTAGATGTGCCATTTGGTGCTGTGCTTTCGCGGGCATGAGGTCGAAGTTTGGATTTGATGATCATGGAGGTCTTTTCCAACCTTCTTGATTCTGTGATTCTTCTCCAAACAGCACAAAATAATCTGTGTCCTTCTACCCCAACCAGGTATTGAGCAGAGTATTGAACAAGAGGAAGGACTGAACAGGTCATCGGCTGACCTGCGGATAAGGAAAACTCAGGTGAGTCTCTGCCCTCTGGCACCAGGAGGACAGGAATTGGCAGCTGAGGGATTCCAGGAGGTGCTGGGAGAGGTGGGCTGTGCTTGGCTATAGAACAGCCTTCTCTAAGTGAAGCTCTGTCTCCTGCCCCACTGTGCAAGGTTGCTGTGTAGGTTTTTTTACCTTCTGGTGATGCTTTGGTGAGAGAGCACCCCGGGGGGATGCAGCCATTGCTCCAGCCTGGAATCTGCCCCTGTGTCACTGCAGTGCCTGGTCTGGGGGATGTGGGTGAAGACAAAGCATCTCAGAGCCTTGCTCTGCAGCCAGCAGTGAGGTTTAGCAAATTATTAAAGGCAACAGGAGCTGCCAGTGTTGCTCTTCATCACCTGGGGTGGGATGTGATCTGCGGCTCTTACGGGGGTCCTGCACATACACAGCTCAGTAAAAGTCCTGCTTTCTCCACACTCTGCAGCGGTGCTGAAAGAGTTCTGGTGTTTATAGTTTGTTTATCTCCCTCTCAGTCTGAGAAGCCACTCGCAGAGCCTGCTCTCCCATCCGCAGTCGGTGCTGGATCGGTATGGCAGTGATGATAACAGATCACCTCTGCAGAGGCAGCTCCCAGCTGGAACCCCAGCACCCCCCAGCTCCACACTCTGCAAAGCTGGGGCAAGGGAAAGGCCCACCTGTCTCTAGGGCAGGTGGGACAGGGAATTGCTGGGGCACAGCAGAAACAAAGGATGGTGCAGTAGCAGGAGAGCAGCAAGTCCCCTGCAGGCAGCTCTGCTGTCCCTCCTGGAGGGACCCAGCATGGGCAGAGCTCTGCTGAGGTTGGAAAGGACCTTCAAAGATGATCCAGTCCAACCCCCTACCATGGGCAGGGACACCTTCCACTAGCCCAGGTTGCTCCAAACCCTGTCCAACCTGGCCTTGAACACTTTAAGTGATGGGACAACCACAGCTTCTCTGGCTTGGGCTACCTTCCCCACATTTGAGGAGTGAAGAGTTGCTGGCCCTGGTTGAAACAACCCCATTTCCTAACTGTAGTTAGTATTTTCTGTTTAATGAGTTTCTTTCAAACACAAGGTACATTTTGGTATGCATTTGATTTGCTGTGAATATCCAGGTAGCTTTATTTAATAACTGAAAGCCATCTCAAGTGCTTTTTTTCCAGCCCATTTTGCATGAAACTCTGTGTTCCTTCAAAAATCAAATGCATTTTGTAGACATGTGGGATGCCCGTGGGAACATAAAATAGCAATCTGAGAAAATAAACACTGAGTTAAATAACTTCTGAAGCAAAAGAGGTGTAGCGTGGTGTGCTGGCGAGCAGGAAGGGTGTCACTCAGCACCCAGGCTATATTTGACTGCAGATCAGCATAGGTTGGTAGTTTTCAGCTGAATGAGAATGAAGTGGATTTTAGGAAAAACAGTTTTGGAAAGGCAGTCCCTTGGATGGCATGTCATGGCATTGCTGGATTTTGGGCTGAGGTGCTCAGGAGCCGTTCTGACCTTGCTCTGGGCCAGCACCTCTGGAGCAGAGCCTGGAGCTGTCGGGTGCGTTTGTGTGAGGTTTGAGGTGGAGGAGGGAGAAGATGAACTGAGGCTGAGGCTGTGCCATGAATACTGTGCTGATGATGGCTCAGAATAGCTGCAGAGCAAATCCAAGTGTATCCTCGAGATGTCTCCAGTGCTGTGTCCTGGAAGGAGGGCTGTGCTGGCTGGGGCTGCTCCAGGTGTGACAAGACCTGCACCAACACGGCCTGAAGAAAAGGAGGCTCAGGGGGGACCTTCTCACTCTCTACAACTCCCTGACGGGAGGTTGGAGCCAGGTGGGGGTCAGGCTCTGCTCCCAGGGAACAAGGGACAGGACAAGAGGAAACGGCCTCAAGTTGCTCCAGGGGAGGTTCAGGTTGGATATCAGGTAGAATTTCTCCATGGAAAGGATGATCAGGCATTGGAAGGGGCTGCCCAGGGAGGTGGTGGAGTCCCCATCCCTGGAGGTGTCCAAGGAATGATTGGAGGTGGCACTCAGTGCTCTGGGCTGGGGGACAGGGTGGGGATCAGGGCACAGGTTGGACTTGATGATCTCGGAGGCCTTTTCCAGCCAAAATGATTCTGTGATTCTGTGACTTTGAGCAGCCTTGGCCTCAGCTCCAGTTTGCTTGAGCACAAGTGGTGTGAGGGGGGTGCTGCCAACCACCCCAGGGTGTCCTCTGGGGGCTGGAGGCTGTGCTCAGGCTGAGGGGTGTCACCTGCTGCCACCTCCCCCTTAGTGCAGCGTTTGGGCTGGAAATGCCTTTGGGGTGGCTGGAGGTGCAGGGGGTGCTCAGGACTGAGCCTTCCCTGCCACGGGGATGGCAGGGCTCTCCCTCCTGCAGGACCCTCACCCCCCTCCCTCCTCCTCTCCCCTCCACAGCACTCCACACTGTCCCGCAAGTTCGTGGAGGTGATGTCCGAGTACAACGCCACGCAGACCGACTACCGGGAGCGCTGCAAGGGCAGGATCCAGAGGCAGCTGGAGATCAGTGAGTAAACCTGGAGTGGGAACACAGCTGGGCTGTGTGTGTGCCATGGGGCCACGTCCTGCACTGGCTCCTGATGGGTCAGAACTGCTCCTGCAGCTGGGTAGAGCTCCCCTGGAAAACGCAGGGGGGCAGAGGGGCCCATGGGTGTGACTGGGACACGGCTCCTGTGGGAGATGGACAGGGGGTGATACCTTGAGTTTCAGTGGCAAAGCACATCCAGCAGAGCACATCCCGAAATGCTGCGGAGAGAGCGCTGGGAGCACAGGGAGAGGAATGTCTTCCTTGTTTGCAGCTTGTTTTTAATTCAAAGGAGCTCATGGGAATTCCTGCCTCTCATGTGTTCTTTGCCTTCCTTGGGGTGCTCTTCATCGTGGCTGAAGTGGGCTAAACGTGAAAGCAGAGAAGGGAGCTCTTGAGATGGGAGCACTCCCTGCTCCCAGTGGTTTGCCTTGCCCAGGAGGAGCAGGAGCCTCAGTGCCTGCCCCAGGCACCTCCCAGAACCCAGGACCTGATGGCTCTTAGCAGCAGTAATGTTGTTTTCTGTCCAAGGGAGGGGCCCAGGTGACACTTCTGAGGCTGGTGACACCTCACCCAGGTGACACCACTGTGGCACTATCATCTCTCTGAGTCATCCAGAGCCCATCATCCAGGATAAGTCTGGTCCTGCCTGTCCACAAAACACTCTCCTGATGGTTCTGCTGGGCAGTCAGTGATACCTGGATAGTTTTAGAGCAATGGGATCATCTCCCAGCAAGGAAGAACCATGTCACCGCCGTAATTAGGAGAATAAGCAAGGGGAAAGTCAGGGCATGCAGAGATTTAAAGAGATTTTTGTAAATAATCTCATTGTCAGAGGCGTCGTGGGGTTTGTGCTCGGAATGGAGGGATCTGAATCCTAGTCCTTTTTTTTAATCTCACAACCAAATGGATGTTTTTCTTCCTTTCAACAACTCAGCGTGAATGATGACAGGAGGTCTGTGAGTCAGAGTGGTGTCCTTGGTGGTCTCCTGTGGGAATGTCTTTCATGGGTTGGGATGCCTGGAAATCTGGGTGCTGTGGGGTTTCCGTGGAGGGCTCGAGGGAGACTCAGCTGTGCAAGCCTCTGTTAAAATTAGTCTTTCTGATGTATAATAGTAACAGGGCTGTCCCAGGGTGGCTGGATGGGAAGGCTGACTGACATGAGGCTCAACAAGAGCTTGCTAGTTTGCTGTAGAGCAGGATGATGTGTCACTGCTCCAGCTGCCTGACTCACTCATCAGCCAACGTCATCCTGCAGGTGACAGCGGAGGGGTGGCTTGTCATGTGAACAGGAATTTAAGGTATCCCTGTGCCTCCCTCTGAGAGAGGAGATTTGGGAGGACTCAGCCGTATCCCTGATTGGCTGCAGACCTGAAGGAAACCTTCTTCTTGTTCTCCTACTGGATTTTGGAAGGACTTTGCTGCTCTGCTTAAATTCTGGAGATACATCAAGTTATACTTGTGTTTGCTCTGTCCTACCAGGCTGCTGGTGCCTGACAGAGCCTGATGGCTGCAGGAAAAGGGCTGCTCAGGATTCCCTGTGGAGCAGTGAAGGATGCAGGGGAGGTGTCTCAGTTCCTGACAGTGAGGGACCTGCATTCCCTTTGGGATGGAGGTGTGGAGCAGGTGCAGAGGCAGGGTGGGGTTGTACTGGGGAGGGACACAGTCCAGGTGGGATTCCCACATCCGGACAGTGGGAAATCTCTCCTGGCAGAAAGGCTCATCAAAAGGAACAGCTTGTGGAGATTTTACTGCCTGGCCTGGGGCTCTGCTTGGCCTGGGGTGTTCCGGGCAATGCCTTCGGCTCCGGCTGCTCCGGGGGCTCCTGCGCAGGCTCTTTGGAGCAGAGCTCAGCTGGGATGTGGCGACTGCACTAAAGCTCCACGAAATCCTCAGCTCTCACTTTTAGCTGAGAGATCCAAAGATAGAAAGTGCTGGGAGCTCTGACAGCAAAGCCAGTAAATCACTCGGGTTTTGGAAGTGTGGGAGCAGGGACTTTTCAGCAGCTCCGGGGGGGCTCCCCAGCGCCCAGCAAGCTCCTCCATCCTCACCACATCTGCTCCTGGCTCTGCAATAGGACAGCTGCAGAGCTGGTGATGTGAAATCACTGCCCCGGGCCACAGCCACCCCCTGGGGCTCCCCACAGCCCTCTCAGGATCTGTCCCTTCTCCTTGTGTAAGC